TACATATTATACAATTACCCTATAATGATAAAAAACATTTCATTAAATCGATTGGATCCAGCTGATAAAATGAGACAATTGAACTTAAGTTGGATGGAGATTCAAACAGTAATGTCATGATTGCAAAATACAATAGCCACATCATGACTTTAATCATTTTTTTTTTAAATATTTTTATTTTTTAACAACTATTTTAAAATATTGTATAAAACACAATTTATAATGAAATGTGTTGAAAATCAGTAAAAATAAATAAATGATAAGATAACTGCTGATAACGTAGTTTTTCGAATGACGCGAAAATCTGTAAATAATTGTTAACAATAACCATAACGATATTATCTCCAAAGAACATAAAAAATAAAATCTGTATATGTGTCTTTTATATGCTCACTAGAATAATTATTTTAAGATTGAAGAAGTATTTTAAAAATACACCGTCACCAAGTTAGGGCGATAACATGGCTGCCACGTTATCCCAACCCTTCCATTTTGATTTCGTTATATTCTGTTCTGAATAATTGTGATGTTATTAGGCACGAACGCTTTCCATATTCAAAAAAGCCTAAATAATATTAATTTTTCAAAAACCATTTTTTTTTTAACTTATGTAACATATTGGTGGGTGTATATGCTATTGTAACGGGTTTTCCCGGTCACGAGTGTGGATGAAATTCCTCGAAAAAATCGAAAATTCCACAAACATCAAAAATTACATAATATGAACTAGTCAAGACATCCAACTGCGAGAAACCTCAAGTCGTGTAAATAGTGTATATATAATATGAAGTTAAATAATTTCTTTTTCGAAAATTACCGTAAAATAAATGACATACACCCACAAATATGTTACGCAAGTTAAATACAAATTAATATTTTTTTGCCTTTTTGAAAAAGGAAAGTGTTTTCGTGGTCACCCTGTACATACACACGGGCGTTATGCATATATTATATTCTAATAATAACAATGCGCCGGTGTTTGTGTGTGTGTACCTACATATATATATATATTATTATCGTGTGTATTCTGTGTACACGGACTACACGCACGCTACACAGACCGGCGGCTTTCGACACCGCATTGTCCTTGACGGGAAAACCGCGAATGCCGGGTTCGCGTTGTTTACGGTGATTATATAATAATAATAACTATTATTATTAGTATTTTCGTGTGTGTGTGCACGAGGAGAGACTCTATCGCCGCTGCCACCGTATATAGATAATAATACAATAACGTTGACGATGATGATGATGATAATAATAATGTATAACCGTCACAATAATATACGTACAGTAAAGCGTTCCACCGTGTCATCATCGTCACGACCATCGACAGGCGAGCCGGGAAAATGGTCGAGGTGGAAGGGGGACCGAGGGATATATATATATATATATATATATATATATGTACTTTTAAAAAAAAAGATAATAACATCCGACGACGGTGGACTAAATCGACAACGGGCAACAACAACGTGTATTGTCACGCGGCGAAAAAAAAAAAGGAAGGAAAAAAAAAAATAGTTTCCGGTCGTCGTCACAGCCGCGTTTCCGTCGGACGGACCTAAACTAAAAAAAAAAAAAAAAGTAATAATAATAACAATAAACAATTTCGTCGGGCGTGTGCGTGTGTGTCGTCCCAACGGTTATTTTGCCTCTGTCCCGTTTCCGCCCGCTTGTCGGTTCGGTCAAACGCCACCGCGATTCCGACACAAAGCGTACAAAGCACACACACACGGTCCGTATGTGTCGTTGTGTAATGATTATATCCGTGAAAAAAAAAAACCAAAATTAAAAACAACAACGGTCGCCGAACCCCTTTTATTTCCATCATCGTCGTTATTGTCCAAATCGTTATCGTCGTCGTTATCGCTGTTGTTGTTCTACTTGATATTTTCTTCAGATTTTGCTCTCTTTTTTCCAAAAATTTTCAAAGTAATCAAATTAAAACACTCAAACTCGCAAAGATTTATCTGTAATTTCTTTTAAACTCTGCTCTTCGACTGCTCCATATTACCATAATCATCTATGTAGATTTTCTCCTGAGCTCCTCAGTCAAGCCTATCCAGACTTTCCTGGACTGATGTATTTTTCGACAAGCTGTTTTTCACTAAATCGTAGACAAATTAAATCACCTCCTTATGAAAACTTATTGGCTGAAATTCTTCTGGTGTTGCAGAAGTTCCATTTCCTTCGGTGGCGATTGATGTTAAATTGAAATTGTAATTTCTGCATCTTCTCCTCTCAATAACAGTATTGTCGTTTTATAAGATGTATTTTATTTAGAAATTGACCAAATAATAAATAATACATGGCAGTATTGCGTTGCTCTGAAAAACAAAGTTTTTTTTCATTATTTAAATTGCATCTTATGCATTATATGTATAGGTACACAACTCTTACCTGATTAACAAAGAAACGACAATAAAAGTTAATTTATGTAATTGATTCCTTTGTACACTTTTGATTTTATAAAGGAATCAAAAGAGTTTTTTTATTAAACAGGTAAATATTAATATTGTGAATATTACAACCAAACAAAATACATTTCATTTTTCTAATCACTCATGACTCTTGAATCAACACCCGTTCCAACTAACCTCAAACTCTCTACCAAGGCAGTTTTTAATAATTTTAATATTCAATTTTTTAGTATTTATTATATGAACCTCGACAAAACTATTAAATATGGATCATCATGTTAATTACCTCTATAATTAATTACAACTTATAGTTTTAAAGGCCCTTTAAGCTACAAGTGAGGTTCATTATCCACAGATTTATACTGAAGCGTTTAAATGTTGAATAGTAATACAGTACTTATACTACATTTCAATTTAATAAACTCAAAATAGCTTTCAATATTCAAATTTATGGAGTTTTTTTCTCGATTAAAGAAAAAGGGTGACTAAAGGTTTTTTTTATACATGTCAGAACTATCTTCAGTCTAATTTTCAGCATTTAAATGTTACAATTGGACTAAAAGTGAGAAAACGCATGTTCTCTTTGAAGAATTGATAAAAAAGACCAGGGGAGAAGAAGTGTATTTTAGATATCCCTTTCGAATGACAAATTATATCAACTTTTCCCCGACAACGCGTAAGTTAGTTAGGTTGGATTTCAATAAGTAATTTCTGCTTTACACTCATAACAGGTAGAATATTGCGTCGACACGTTATATTTTTTTCTATAATTTATTGTATTTTTACTCTCTGCGCTGCTTCGGTAGACGGTAAAAGGTTTTTTTTTTTTATGGAAATCGTTATAATAATATTACATTCGGACGTTAAGCCGCAGCTAACAAAACCAGAGGCCGCTCGGATCCCGTTAAAACGTATATTATGTTTCATTCCGGCAGCCCAAAACTTAGGTACGAGCACAAAAACCTGAACGAAGGGCACAATAAAAGCCCCAGTATCATTAAAAGACCGTAGACCTAACCAAGAAACCGTTAATACAATATCCACGTTTGTAAAAAAGGATAAATTATTCATGAGTTTGTACACCCACGGGGTCTCGGGTTGTCCCGACAAATTGACATATTATTGTAAGTGTATAGATTATATATACATTTATAAAACCCTTTGCTACTGCATTGAAAACAAAAAATTGTGCCAAATGTCTTGAATCGCACATGTAAACTGAACTAAGTAAAAATGTCCAGAGAAATTAATCCTACAGGAAAATATGTGCAAGTATTAAAATACCGGAGATATAATATAAATAACATAAGAATCAAAACTGTTCCAACTATTAGAAACGAATTTTGTATACGTTATGTATTAGGTGATACACAAATCATAACGCTATCGTTAAAAATGATAAACCATAATATTACATCAAATGATAATTTATAGAGTAAACATTTTTATCTTTTTATTCTATTAGACTCTTTTCGTATTTTGTATCAGCTTCTGGACAAGTTCTTTCTAATGAGCTTGATATCGACTTTCTGACCATTTGTTTTGTCATCCGTGATGTAACAGTAAACTTTGCATAGAGCAAATGTCAGAAGAAGGCATCCTAAAATGTGGAAGGTGCAAAAAAAATTGTGCAGCAAAAGCAAGACGATTGTGCTTATAATATTTGTTTTGGTTTTGCCTTTTCGGAAAACCCCTAAAGATTAACTCGGTTGTCCGATTCAATTGGCCGAAATAATTATACATCAGCGCAATTTAATGTAATATATATATATATATGATGGGATAAATCAAAATGCTAAGGCCATATTATTGCACTCGAGAGAAAATATAGGAACAAATAGAATAACGTTTTATGAACGTGTGTTGAATTTCAACCATAATTTGGGGCAGTCCCAGTGAATAAAATATTATGAAGTACCTAATATAAAAGGCAAGCTGAGGTGTGACCACAATTGAAGATATTATACTTCTCTGGTACATATTTTCTATTTGTTTTAGTATTGCGACCATGTGACATTATAAATTATATTATAACTTAACATTTACAGTATTACCAAATGGAATTTTATTTCGTCTATTTATCTGTACAGTCATACTCCCTAATCACAAACATAATATTATATTTATTATGTTACAAAGAATGTTTTCATTTTAAAAGAAATCGAGATATTACACAGATTGCTAATTTTGTTGACTGGGATCCTAAGTAAAGTAACCTCTTGTCACAGCATGGCTAAGAATTTAAATTTGTAATTATTTTACAAGCAACATACTGTTAATATTGTATGCTATCTCTCTCTGAACAATAAATAGTCTGGCGAGAGCCTACCATCCTCCTCCACATAGGTTACCGATCTAGACTATAAAAAATGACTACCAGTAAAAATAAAACCATAGGCACGCAACAAAAATAATCATAATTCTTAAGCAACAAAATATGAGTATATAATCGTGGGCAAAAAAGTTTATTTTAGAAAAAATATTATATTAATTAACAATTCAGATGTCAGTGCAATATGCAAAAATTATTTATTTGTTTATTTATAATTGTAAAGAAACATACATTTGATTACTAGTCTAAAATGTTGTGGTTTTTAACTGTTTCTCAAATCGTGGAATACTGGAATCGTCGAATAGCTGTACTTTTAATTGTATAATTTTTTTATCCATTTTATTGACATTTACTTGCCAATACTTGTCCTTAAATAATCTGTATGCTACAGCATTAAAGGCGCCATCGTATACTACACAAATATCAATACGTCTATATAGATCGATACGATCTATATGCTGTACATCATAATCTGTTTTTGAAGACGTTTTTAAACTTAGCCACATTGCTATTAAAGTACAAATTCTATTAACCGAATACATCTTTTCATTTAAGATCCATCCATCTAAAAAATAAGAAAACAGTTGTTAAAAATTGCCATATTTAGCTTACTAGCCGCTATTTCTCTTCATTGTGCAACACACATTTACTAAACGTTAATAAAACAACTAATACAATTATATATAATAATATGTATATTGGTCAAAGCGCTGAATACGAACGAATATTTGGAGGAACTACCCCCTCCCCCCACAGAACTTTTTGAAACTTACCCTGCATATCTTTTACCCTAAAAAGAATGTATTGAAATTTTTCTGGATTTTTTTTATTAAAATAGGTCTATGTTTGTATAATGTAAAGTATAAATTAGGTTTTTTTCTCATGTTAGCTAATTGCATTTTTTTAAATATTTTTTTTCAAAAAACTATAAAAAATTGTACAAAAAATGTGTACATTTCAAACCGAGTTCTATAAAAAGGCTTCGAAAAATAAAAAATAAGGGGGAAATTCATAAAAAAGTTGAAGAAACGGGAAAATGTGGCCACAGTAATCAAAATGGTTGAAATAACTTTATGTAAAATAAGATAACTTTCCGTTAGAGATAATTTTGACTGATCGAAAACCATTTGTGGAATTTTATTTTTAAAGTTATTAACAGGACGGGAGGAAGAATGAAGCATAGTATTATTACAATCAATTCTAAATCAATCAATATTTTCAACAAATTGTTTTTTTTTGTTAGAGCTCTAGAAAAAAATTTAAATGTTGTAATAAATATTGTAAAATTACAATAATTAAAGTGTTTCAACAAAAAAAAATTACAAATTTGTAATAAGTTAAAAATAATTGACGAATGAAAAATATTATAGTAATAACAAAAAGCCCTCCCGCTGTAGAACATATTTAAATGTTGTGTAATATTAAAAAAAAAATGAAAGTGCCTCAAAAAGTAAAACCAAAAATAATCAAGTAGTTAAAAAAAATTGGTTGTGTTATCCATATTAAATCATGCTGTAGAAAATAGATATTGTTAAAAAAGCAATACCATTAAAAATATCTATTTATATTCACCTAAATGTTGGATAAGTGCATTTCTTATAGCTTTTCCAGTAAAAAGTCTTCTCGCCTTTCCAAGTTTGGTCAACTTATTAATTGCTCTACCTGCATAAACATATTTAAATATGTATAACTTGGTTGAAAATAAATTATTTGTTAATATATTCGCGTTTGTTTTTTTATTTTTAAATATGACGCGTTAATGAGTACAAAAAGAGTGAAAAGGAACGTGAAAAGTTATGGTAAGAAGAATATCGATAAGCGATGATGTAGACATGAAGAGGGTGCTGTATTTTTAGTAAAAAGACGGCATAGGCTAAAAATGTATTCTGTATTTGCTCAATTGTTATCTGGGTGCCAAATGACTACTCCGTATTCTAGAATCCTTAATAGAAGTTATGTTTATAATATGATATTGTGGTAAAATGCTGAAAATTGATATACGTCATTTAAAAATTACCATAAATAAAATAGTTGTTATATTATGTTTTCTAGTTTCCCCAATTAAAATGTATTTTACTGAAATTATTGTGTTGACAAAAGAATACATAAAGCAAATTTTATATTTCAAACTAGCCGTGAGTTCTATTTAATACTAACGGGTAGGTTTGTAAATTCTTTTGAATTTATCACTATGTACAGAAACACCTGTAACAAAAATATAAAACGATTATATAGTTAATCAAACCAGGTTGTTATATCTACCCATAACACTCACTCTAAACTATAAACTTTATAATATTACCGTAAGTATAATAGTTATTAAGTCTCCCCAACTAACAGTTTACTTTATTGTAATTACTGTATGAACAAGTCAATATACAATGCTAAATTGTATAATTCAAACAAGCCATAAATTAAAATTAATACTAACGAAAAACATTGTAATTACTTTGGTTCTTATCATCAAATACAGGAATATCTGCAACAATATTATAAAAAATATATATAGTTAATCAAACCAGGTTTGTTATATTTATCCATAACAGTTCCAATCAATCAACGCCAATTATTATAGTATTAACATAAAGCCGAAAAATCCCCACCCCCTACAATAGAAAAATAGTAATATTGAAAAAAAACAAAACATTTTTGGAGACCCTTTTTTTAAAAATGAATCACCCTGTAAAAATGAAATGATATTCGGGCAATATAGTAGTAAAATCGACCCAAAAATTGAAATTTTCTACTTTATTTTTTTTAATTATTTTTTGTCCTTTGGGATGTGGTTAAAAAATAAAGTTTGTTAAGCCACCAAAATTACAAATCTTTATTTACAGTAAAATGCTCTCTACAATTTTTCGAGTTCCCAGAGATATCACCAGCATTAGAATGAGATTAAGAACGCGAAATTCAATCGATTAGGAATAGAGTTATTTTATGAGATTACCTTTTTTCCCATAAATTAATTCCCGCCGTTCACAATATACATATAACATTTTATTTTTAGGTTGAAAACAATTTTTTTTAAAGAGGAATCGGGAGAAAACAAGTTTGAAAAACGTGGGATGAAAAATATGATAGTTAACAATTTCACTACCATATCGCCTTAAAAAAGCTATATCATTCAAACTCTATACTTATACTCACTAACTATTCGGCTATGTAATTTTTTTAAAGCTTTTCCAGTAAGAAAACTTCTCGCCTTTCCATCTGTGGTCGTTCTTAAAATTGCGTTACCTGCATACATTTATAAATAACCGGGTTAATAATACAATATTTATTAATATAATCGTATTTCTGTTTTTATTTTGAAATTTAACGCCCTTATGAGTACAAAAAGAGTGAAAAGGAGCGTGAAAAGAAATGGTAATAAAAATATCAGGAGCATTGATGGAGCCTAGAAAGGGTGAAAATAACAAATCAGCCAAAATAGGAATATCATGGGAAGTGTGGACAACGACGTGGCCATGCAGAGGTAGCTGTATTTTTAAAAAGACGGCATAGGCTCAAAATGTATCCTGTATTTGCTCAATTGTTATCTGGACCTTTGTTTGGTAAGGGTGCTAAGCGACTACTCCATATTCTAGAACCCTTAAAAGAAGTTATCGATAGATAAATTTAGACCCTATCTAGAATACCACCCATTTGGACTTCCAGCTGACAATTCCGTCCTCACTTGGTTATATCTTGTGTAAGGACGATAACTCCAAACTGACTCGGTGGTCACCTCACTTCACTTCACACACGCTCCCGGTTCACAAAACGAAGGCCCAGACATGCTATCACGACAACCTCCCGTAGATGAGAAATCTCTAGTCGATAATCTACTGGACAGACCAACAATAGAAAACTCCTACAGGGGTGGTCCTCGGATGATAGGGTCTTCGCCATGACCACTGAAACCTAAAGGGAACAGCCCACCGGTTAACGTATCAGAGTTAAAGGCGTGGCAACAGCTAGATCCCAAACTGCAACCACTCCTCGAGACACTGACATATGACACCCCCACGCGTAACACGCTTTGGCCAGCCAACCTTGATGGAAGGAAACGTACAGGGCAGTCAAACAGCGTTTCTTCTGGAAAGTGATGAAAAATTCGATTAGGCTTTATGTGAAATCCTACAACATTTGTACGTGCACCAAACTCCTCAACTTACAACCCGAAAACCAAGAGAGCCGTGGAAAGTGTCGAATGGGATGTTTCCATAGGACGACCAGGGCTAATCCCTTTATCTTGGTCGCCACTGATTGCTATAGTCGGTGGACAGAAGCCTATCCCATAAGATCAGCCACTACTAAAACTCTCAAACACTCGAACTCGGGGATTTCTTCTCCCGTTTCGGCTACCCCCGCGCGTGCCTCACAGACAACGGTCCCCAATTCGTCTCCAATAAAATGCTTGAAGTGTTAAATAAATAGGTACTCGATGGATAGACTACGACAGTATACCACTCACGGGCCAACCCCGTCGAACGTAAAAATCAGGGCTTAAAGAATGGTTCGAGGGCGCTGTTGGTAGACAATGGCTATTGTCTACCAAATTATAATTGTTATATCACGTGGGATACAAAATTACCCTCCATCCTATTGGCCATAAGAAATCGTCGAAAAGAATGAACAGGTACCCCCTTCAGGATTAGTGTTAGGAAGGGTAGCCAAACAACCAAGAGACTGCTCGTTATCATAACCTGCCCCTGCATCGTCAGAAACATCACTAAACAATCCTGCAGGGATACGAGAAGGCTATCGAATAAACAATTGCCCTACAATTTCCAATTAACCTCAGTGTTGCTTTTTATTTCGTTTGTAAAAAAAAATCGCAATGTTTTCCACTCGCAATCATCACCATTCATGCCGTGCCAAGTTGGCGTAGAGTACAACGGTCAATAGAGCTATGATAGCATTCTGTATGTCAAGTCACAAGTATTTTTTAACTTAGAATGTCATAGCAACAAATTATTGTTACGTTTATAATTTGATATTGTGACAATTTTATCATTCAATCATGCCATAACTTCTATTAATAATTAACGAATTACTTTGTAATTACTTTCGGTTGCCTTAGCAGGTTTAGGAATTCCTGTAAAATAAATATAAAATAATTATACAATTATTTAAACCCGGTTGTTATGATTATCAATAACAGTCACTCTAGAATTGAGATTAGTTTGACCAATTAATTAATGCAAAATCTAGTATTAACATTAAACCAATGACTTTTAAAGCCCCGTTAACTACCACATTTAAGTAATCTTTAGTAACATAAAACTAAAATCAGATTATTTAACCAATTAATCGATGCAAAATACAGTATTAACATGAAATTATTCTTTAGCAAAGTTAGAAGGACTGCTATATTCACAATGAATTTTATAACGATCTAATCATCTATGCATTTTCACTTTGTTTTTTGTATTCCACAAAGTTTGTTCTCATTCTCGTTTTAAGGTTCTTTTTAGTCTTTGAAAACTGTTCACTAGAAAATTGTATATTTACTTAATTCCTGAAATATTATCCGTTGCAAATTTTCTTGTGTCAATATAGAGTCTAAAATTGAAAATAAAATAAATTTGTATGTACATATGTATTTTCTTGTAATAGAAACCAATGTTACACACATATAACTGTGTGGAGCACTATAAATATGAAATTTGAAATATACATAGGTGAGAATTGATTACCTTGTAGATATTCATAGCTGGATATTATTGAATGTTCTGAAATTAAAGTTTGTATACTTTATGATTATTAAACGACTGTGTAAAAATATTTCCAAAAAAAACCGATTAAAATTACTACCTGGTATAGTAAACATGTCATTCATATATCCTGAAATTAACATACAACAATTAATGGTATTGAAATTAATTTTCTATTTTATCATAAACTAGAGTAGAAAAGTTAAGAAAAAATAATATGTGTATAAGTAATTCAGAACAAAATGCTTAGCTCTACTATATTAAGTAAGTTTAAACCTAATAAAAATACAATAGCTAAATAAAATCATACGGGGGAATAAAATAAGATAAAACAAAATATTTATCATTGAATATTTAACTTCACCCTGTCATTGTTGTGAATGTATTTTTACGTACTAACTAATTGAAGAAGTACGAAACAGGTTACTATTATGGTGATGGCTGGGATATGTTGCAGCTTGGAAAACACAATAACTGTGAAGGGGTTTAAGATATCTTTTTTATAAATTTCTTCTTCAACTAAGATGTTTTTATTAACATATAATTATTATTACTCAAATAATAGTTGTTTGAATGTAAAATCTCTATGATTACACGCTCCAATTGATCTAGAACAAACAAATACAAGTTTGAACTAAAGAAAAGTTCCAAATAACATACAAATGTAAATAACAATCATTAAAAACATTTACACCATACATAAATAAACTCCACTTTTGGGGTTATTAGTCCATTCACATCGCACAGTGCCTATGTGCGATGGAGCACAGACCGAATCAAAAATATAAACCTACCACTTCAAGACGATGCCACACCACCCATTAATTAAGAAGTTGGATGTTGACAATTGTTTACAAAGTCTTAACTTAAATACATAGATAATGTTCATAACTTTCAGCTGATAAAGGTAACTTTTTCATAAGACAATTTTTGGAGGTGCTGTATGATAAATGCCCACTCATGTTTTTATACCGTAAAAATTCAAGTGTGTCGTCCTCTTAAACATACAAATTATTTACTATATTATCATAACTGAAAAATATACAGGGTTTGGCGCACTGGTACTATATATAACTCGTGGCTCCTCTAAAAAGTTAATTTACACTATTATTTTTCATGTACAAGTAATTTGATAAGTAAGCAAACATACCACAACAATTACATATTAGTATATTAATTATTATTATCTTACTTCCTTTATAATCGTAGTTATAGCCAGAAGCTTTCTGAATTTGCAAGTCTGTAGTACATGATATTTAAAAAATAGGTATATATAAAAACAGTAAAATTAAAAAACTCATAAAGTTAATCTGTATGATTATAAATTATTACTTACTTGTAAGTTCAACCGTAATTATATATTCTGCTGTAAAGAAAAGTTAAATATTTTTTTTTTTTAGTTTTTTAACTAGCTTGTATTGGTTAGTATGAAAATAAAATACATACTTATACTTAGATCTGCTAAAACATTTACGCAGATAAATGATATTAAAATACAATACATTTTCATTTTTATCTGCAAAAATCAATAAACATAAATCCAATTAATAAAAGGCTCTAGCGCTACGGGAGATGAGAAGGTTTTGATTTTAAAATGATGTTTCTATTTGATATATTATTTTATGTTTTTTGATTAGAGAAATACACAAAAGATAGCTTATACAGTCCGACAAATAGTTTTTTATTTATTTAGTTAATGATTCGTGTATCAAGTAGGCCTGACTTATTTATTATAGGATGAGTTATACTCTAGTGGCATACTTTTAAGATGTGTTATGTAGCTAGTTCGGGCCTTAATCGGGAGTGTTTTAGGATGATGTGTTTAGAACTCGTCGTGAACAAAATACAAGTAGAAAAATGACAGTTTGATTTATTTATAAAAATAATCGGAAATAGGCCTTTGTCAGCTATTTAAACTATATTGTGTAAAATATTTAAGTGACATTATTTAAAATACAATTAAACTTAAAACTGTATTTAACAGAATATAATATAACGTTTTATAAATTATTTTTATTAGAGCTATTTTAGCTTCGATGAAAAGCAGAGATACTATTGGTTCTACCATGATGTAGGCTTTTTTTTCTGTATACACTGTAACATTTTTAATACTGGACCAATTCCTTCGAGTAGCAACTGTATAAATTACAAATTTCATCTATTTGGTACCTTGGGACATGGCCGTCTTTAGGGGGGGGGGGTCGTTGTTACACCCCTCCATGAGTTTTTTCGTCGGCACATTGACACTGAGTCACCGCCGAGTTGGTACATTAGCCAAGTCGGCAATATTAAATAATATATTGAATGATATTATAATACTATCTAATGTTACATATTTCAAAAATTAATGTACAGAGAATAACGAATTAAACACCACAAAAGAACAATGCATTGTTGTTGTTACTACAAAATTACACCCCGGAAAACGAGTAAATGTCAAACTTGTTGATTTGATTGATAGTGTGACTGCCTTTGCATTAAATCTTGGTGTAGATTCAGAATATGATTTTAAACTTCATCGCCGTTTAAGAAAAAAGCCAACTAGGTTAGATCAAAATTCAGGCAATCAAGCTGATATAACCTTTCATACATTTCATAAAAAATAATATAAATGTATACTCTCTACACTCATAAAATTGTCAAAGGACAATATAAAAATATTTATTGATACAATAATGCCACTTTATAAAATCTTTTCATTCCCATTCAAGAAAGAAAATATAAACCTTGAAAATATACAAAACGCCTTGTTAATATTTCCCGCATAAGTGATTTTTCAAAGTGCAAAGACTTTGAAGCCATTCAAGCCGAGTTAGAAATATTAGAAACAATATGCAAAAATTTAAGTTCAGCTATTTTCCTCAGTATTATTGAAAAATGTGAAGAAGTAAAACATATTCTACCATCATCAAATAGTCTTTGTAGATTAGCATTGACTGCGCCGGTAAGTGTTGCGACCAATGAACGGTCATTCAGCAAACTAAAACTTATTAAAAATCATCTTAGGTCAACAATAAGTGATGATAGGTTAGATTCATTAATGCTTGATTTTGCTTATGATTTTTATCAAACATTTTTACCTTAAAAAGTTTGACCAAACCAGCAGTTGTGGCTGACTCATTAATGGCATTGAATAATAAAATAATTTGTTCTAGCTTTATATGTGGATAAAATTAATAAATCTGAGATGTGTAATCTTATAATTCTATCAACAAAAATTTGAGCGTAGCATGAAAAATTTTTTGAGCTGGCAAATTAATGAATCTAGCCCCCTACCATGATTTGTCCTTCGGGACGGCCCTGCCTTGATGGGGTAAAAGTTGAAAAAGTTTACTTGTTCACAGTTAAAAATTGAAAAAACACAAAAAAAACGATACGAGTTTTTAAGTTAGAAATTTACTGGTTATAATTTTGAGAAAAAGAGTCGGATCGTGATGAAATTTATAAGGAATATTTATTTAGGTATCCCCGCACACGAAATTTGTCGATGGGGTGTAAGACTTTTGGGGTTTTTAGCCGTAATATTAAGGCCTTTCAGTTGAAAATTTGACAGTAGTTAGAACTCATATGTATCCATCACATATTAAACGAATAAAAAATTCGCCACTACAGTTTTTCATTTATTGCCGGAAAACTGTGTTTTTCGCAGATTTTGTTTTTTTTACATATTATTATACACCTTAAATCTTTAAAAAAATGTATCAAATCATTACGACTGTTTTATGTACATCTATTCAGAACGATAGATAAAATATTAACAACGCACTATCATTATCAAAATTGTTTTTAAACACAAGTTCCTGTATAGATTGAAGATAAAAAAATCGATACAGCTATATTAATAATCAATATCAGTCCGATATTATGGTTTGTTTAACATCATAGATTTTCCTTATTTTCACAAATTTACGTCATTATTTTCGAATTTTTTTTTATATAGTTATATATTTTTTTATAACCAATAAACGACTTTTTTGTAATTTATGTAATTTTAGGTGAAATGAAAGTAACTATTTCTATGATATATTTATATTGACTTCGTTACTTCCCGACATACTTGTAGAAGGATTTTAAATTTTGTTGTGTATAACTAAGCCAGAATTATAAATTTACTTCTGAAACTTCGTAAATATATTTTTTAGTCCTATACAAAAACGTAAAAAAATTGTTGAATTTTTTTTCGAAAAAAAAAAATCTCACTAACGAAAGGGGTAAATTAGGACACAAATTAGGAGTACAAACTATTGAAACCATTGATTATGTGTTATTTGTTTTTGCAAACTAAAAAGCCAGTACAGTGGGGTCGGGGCATAGTGGGGACGGTGAGGTCACAGGATTACTGGAATTTTTTAATCTGCGAATCTTTAAGTGATAAAAGTTAGAAAATATTAAATTGAGGTACTGTATTTACAAAGTATAAGCGTTAATTAAAAAGTGATTTTATTCACTTTTATTTATAATAATTCTTGTAGACCTGTAACCTGCCCGTCACACTATGCACCGACCTCACTATGCTCTATCCCCACTATGCCCCAACCCCACTGTACTGGCTTTTTTCAAAGTAATTCTTATACCAAAATTGTCAAACTAACTAGGCGTTCTGATAACGCCATTGATTTTAAAAAATGTTATTTTTATTTTTAATAAACTAAAAAAACAAGTTTAAAAAAAACTTGAACTTGAGGTGTATTTAAAAAAAAAAAAAACAAAAATTAAAATTTTGCATCATGGATACACGTTTTACATTTAAGTACACAATGTTTTTCTATATTTCGGCAATACAGTAAAATAAAAACATATTTTGCAGCTCAACGTTGCTAGTTTATTTGCAAAGATGTTTTTAAGCTTCGATGCGGAGCTGAAAATGTGTTCCTTAGGTGTGTGTTTTTTTTATTTGTATCAGCAATCAAGTTATATTTTCTACCATGGCCCGATTAACTTTAGATATCCGAAATTTTCAGTGACTTTGATGGGTTAAAAGTAGAAAAAGTCGACTTCTTCACACCAACAACCGAGAAAAAACCCCAAAAAACAACTGCCGAGTTTTCAACTTTCAACGTTAACTTTTTACTACTTTGCAAAAAATTTTCGAATTAATAAATGATTGTAATCGAATGTTCAAATCCAAATTTAAATAATCCTGCATTCCCCCGCAGGATTTAATTTTTAAAAAATTGTTCTTAGTCTTATAATCTATTATTAAAAAAACATTGTATAAAGAATCGTGGACTTAAATATTTACAATACCGATTATAAAACATAATATTTTTCTTAGATAAGTGTGTTTAAGTATCATCCATCTTTGTGTGAAAAAGTGCTTACAACTTTTGAAGTTTAAAAGTATTACTTACTTATAGTCTTGATGTATAATGAATACGGATACTTGGATTGAATGTTATCGAACGTCTAGATGCGAAAAAAAGTTGAAAATCAGAAAAACACATTGAAAGAGTACAGTTTTGCTATTTTTGAAAATTTGGTAGTTTTACTTACTTTAAACAATTGCAATAGTTAAACCAAGTGTTTCAATGGTTGTCTTACGACTTGTCGAATGACATCTGTTATATCGACCAATACATCACAATGTAAATATGTTTTACAGTTTGGTTTTGGCGAATTTATTAACATAAGCAATATGGTAATTTTTCGTTATGACTAACATGTTTTTATAATACCGAAACGGAGTTTAAAGTTTTTATAAAAATCGTATACTTTATAATATATGTATACAACTAATGTTCAGTAAATAATACAACTGTGCTGCAAGTCCTACACTACAATGTTAAATAAAAATTCAAATCAAAATACATACATATTCCACTTGAATTAGGTCAACAACATTTAGCACAGTAGTCTCCGATTTTTGGAGTGTTTATATACTATACTATAATATTTATTACAGATGTAAGACACTCATTTTCTTGGAAAATATAAATATATTTATTATCATTATTATGCGTAAAATAAGTTTGTTCTTCGTTTGTCCAAAATGGAACATATTTTTTTAAATTTTGTAATTTGTTATGTTTGCAAAGTCATAGTAAATGAAAATTAATAATCAAAACGTTTAAACTTTTTAATATGAGATTGTCCGTGATTTAGGTTTCATCCTTTTTTAGAGATCTTTCCCCAGTGGCTCATATCCAAGGAAAATGATGCAAGGCACTAAAGAGTAAAGCTTCTTGAGTTTTTTAGTGATCCCACTCAAAACTTTAATATTTTTTTACCCTTTAAACTCCCTCATTGCTCTCTTGTCCGTCCGATCTTTGAGTATGCCAGTGTTCTCTAGGACCCAGCTACCGCTAATGTCAGCGCCATGATCGAAAGAGTTTAGAGAAAATGATTGCACTTTTACTCTTACAGGTTTGATATCTCTTCTTTACTCTCTGGATGACTGCTCTACTGTCATTCTAGCTTTTGCCATCACTTGGCTCTTATCTGCTTCTACGTTTAACTTATTCACGCAAGTCTTTTGTTTATTAAAAAAACCCCGAAAAAAATTCTATTAAAAATACAATAGTTCTTATAAAATTGAATATTGAACTGATCATATTATAATTTTATCTCTCATCGGGCAATAAATAGTCTTGCGAGAACCTTCCATCCTCCTCTTCATTAATTATCAATCTAGATCAAAAAACGTCCTCCAGTAAAAATAAAACCATAGGTATGCAATAATAATAATAATTTTTAAACAACAAAATATGAGTTTATAATTGTGACCAAAGTTTATTTTAGAAAAACCATGACATTAAATATCAATTTGGATGTTAGTACAATATGTAAAAATTATTTATAATACTATAGAATTATACATTTATTACTAGTCTTAAATGTTGTGGTTGTTAACGATTTCTTAAATCGTGGGATACTAGAATCGTCGAGTAGCTGTACATTTAATTCTTCTATTTTAGTATCCGTTTTATTGACATTTACTTGCCAATATATGCCCATAAATGGTCTGTATTTTACAGCATTCCTGTCCTTATCATATACTACACAAATCTCAATATCATCCCCTTCATGATCTACAGACACAATCGGTATTGAAGCTGTTTTTGAACTAATCCACAATGCTATCAACGTACAAAATGTATAAACACAATGCTTCTTGTCATACGAAATCAGTTCAGCTAAAAATAAAGAAAATAGTAGTTAAAACTTGCCAAACTCAGCTTACTAGTAACTATTTCACTTTATTGTGCAAGACAATTTTACTAAACGAAAATAAAACAACTTATACAATGCATCACTATCGAGCATGATGGTTTCTAGACGGATTCGCTGTCCGGGAAGGGCCGTCAGATAGTCAACTAATACAATTATAATATATAATATGTATACTGGTTAAAACGCTGAATATAAACGAATATTTGAAGAACCTACCACCTCCTCCTCCCCGAACTTTTTTAAAATTGCCCTGCATGTCTGTTACGCATAAAGATAGTTCTAAAAATGTTTGGATTTATTTTATTATTAAGATGTTGTAATATACAAGTATTAGTTTTTTCTTTATTCTTCTTTTTTATTATTTTTTTTTTGCCAAACGCAAAACGTTATAAATAGGCAGTTTTTTATGAAAAAAATATCGGCTTTTTAGAAAAAAATTCTGATTTTTTTTTCGTGTGTGTCACAAAAAGTCATTTTAATTGAGTTTATAATCTAAAATGAGTGGTTTTTTTCGTGTTGCTCAAGGTTTGTGCAATTTTATAGTAAGTTTTTAGAAAGCTGAAAATGTTTTATTTCAACCTGGTTTTCTATAAGCATGATTGATAAAAAACGTGAATTCATAGAAAAGTCGAAAAAACGAGATAAGTGTCACAGTAATCAAAATAGTTTAAATAGTTATGAGTAAATGTTCTATAATTTTCCTTTAAGATACTTTGGACTGGACGATAACCATTTGTGGATAGTTATTTTTAAAGTTATTAACAGAAAAAGAGGAAGGATGAAGCATAGTAATTATCATCTGCATGCATTTATCTACGGCGTTTAAATTCTCATCCTAAATTCGAAACTTCATTAATAATACTTTTAAAGTAATTATCCAAAACTATTTCTAAGCCAGTCAATATGTCCAACAAATTGTTCTTGTTGCTAGAACTCTAGAAAAAATTATGAAAAAATGAATATGTTGTGAGAAATATTGCAAAATAACAATAACTAAAGTGTGAAACACATAAAAATTACAAATTTGTAGTTATTTAAAAATAAATTGAGCAATAACAAATATTATAGTAATAACATAAATCCAAAAACCCCCTTTCGCTCTAAAATTGGGTTTAAAAAATATGTAATATTGAAAAATATCAGAAATTAAAATATCTCAAAAAAGAAAACCACAAATTTTCTAGTAATTTAAAAAAAATTGGCTGTGTTATCCATAATTTATCACGCTGTAGAAATAGATATTATTAAAAATGTCTATTTATATTCACCTAATGCTTGGGTAAGTACATTTCTTATAGCATTTTTAGTTAGAAGTCTTCTCGCCTTTCCAAGTTCGGTTAATTTATTAATTGCTGTACCTGCATAAATATACATAAACATGAATAACTGGGTTGAAAATATAGTATTTAATATTATATACGCATATTTTTTAATTTTTTAACTTAACGTCTTTTTGATTACAATAAAAGTGAGAAGAAACGTCAAAATATTTGGTAAGAAGCATATCAGCAGCATTGGTGGAGTCTAGAAGGGATGCAAAAATAAAATGGAGTTCATTGTTAGTCCGAAGATCATCCAAGGTTAGGTTACAAAAAGTGTGGGCAGCGATGTAGTCGTGAAGAGCGTGCTGTATTTTTAGTAAAAAGACGACACACGCTAAAAATGTATTCTGTATTTGCTCAAATGTTATCTGAACCATTGTTTGGTAAGAGTGCTAAAAGACCACTCCACATCCTAGAACCCTTAAAAAAAGTCTCCCCTACTAAAAGTTTACTTAATTGTAATTATTGTGGGAGTAAAAGAATATATAAAGCAAATTTTATCTTTCTAACAAGCCGTAAACTCTATTTAATACTAACGAGTAGCTTTGTAAATTATTTTGTATTTATCATCATGTACAGTAACAGCTGTAACAAAAATATAAAACAATTATATAGTTAATCAACACTGGTTGTAATTTTTATCTATAACAGTCACTCGAAAAATACCATTATTTTAACCAATTAATTAACACAAAATCTGGTATTACATAAAAAAGATGGCTTTAAGGCCATGTTAGCTACCGCCATTACGTGATCTTCAAACTATAGAATAAAACAAAGAAAGTAATCGTACAGGAAAATTGCAGTTTGTTGAAAAATATCACAATATGACATTTCTTAACATACAATGACAGACCAAGAAGGTAAGTCCAGTCAAGAAAAACATTAAGTTTAGTATGTTAAAGGCAACAGTTCACAGATAAGGTAATACTAAAAAAAATGATCTATGTAAAAAGATCAGAAACCACTTTGTGAGCTCAATTGTATTGTTAAAAAATGATTCACGCTGTCCAAAATTGTAATGTAAATGTAATATTAGTAATATGTTATTAAGTCTACCAAACTAAAGTTATATTTTATTATAATTACTGTGTGGACAAATGAATATATATAAAACTAAATATATCTTTTAAATAAGCTAAAAGTAATATTCAATACTAACGTAAAACATTGTAATTATTATTTCAAACAGGGGTTCGGTATTCGTTCCTATTTGACTCATTTCTCTTTTATGTCCCGGAAGAAATACCCGGAACTCGTTCCTCAAGATATTCGTTCCGGAGCAAATACTCGGAACTCGTTCCTTGAGATATTCATTCTGGAGCAAATATTTGGCACTCGTTCCTTGTGATATTCGTTCCGGAGCAAATATTTGGAACTCGTTCCTCAAGATATTCGTTCCGAAACTGATACCCGGAACTCGTTCCTTTGATATTTGTTCCGGAACAAATAAAATGTAATTGTACCTTGTCATTATTAGTAATTTATTAATGGAGCAAAATGTATTTGTTCTACGTATTAAGTTGTTCGTTCGAGCTTAGTAAAAACAAAAAAATTGTAAAAAATTGAGATCACATCGTATAACAACAATATGAAAAAAAAAGTTAATTTCTTATTAAACCCTATGAGATATTGAGTGGTCCATGATAAAAGAATCACCCTATATATGTCGTGTAAAAAAATTATACTGGAAATTACCCATATATTATAGCCCGTATATATCTAAAAAAGTATTAAATTAATATAAATTAAGTGTTATTTAACTTTGCAAGTTTAATTTATGATTAAAGGACTGATGGTTTTGATGGATTACTTGCATATATTTTTCTTAGTATGTATAAATGTGTTATAATAACTCTGTTAAGTTACACCATGTATATGCTATATACATTTATCTACACTGAAAATAACATTAATTGTTATATCAAATGCATTAACTATAATATGTTGGTAAATTAATTATCATTTAACTTACATAAATGTGCACCTTCAATAAACTCCAATGAAACAACATAATACGTAGAACAAATACATTTTGCTCCATTAATAAATTATTAATAATGACAAGGTACAATTACATTTTATTTGTTCCGGAACAAATATCAAAGGAACGAGTTCAGGGTATTTGCTCCAGAACGAAAATCTTGAGAAACGAGTTCCGGGTATTTGTTCCGGAACGATTACAACAGGAAGTTATGAACAAACACGTTCCGGAATTAGTTCCGAACCCCTGATTTCAAATGACAATCGGATATATAACAGAAAGAGATTACTTTGTAATTACTTTGGTTTTTATCATCAAGTGAAGGAATATCTGTAACAATAATATAAAAATGGTTTATAGTTAATCATCCTGGTTTATTATATTTACCCATGACAGTTCCAGCTAATCAATACCAAATATTTTAGTATTAACATAAAGCCGAAAAACCCCGCCCTGCTTTAGAAAATAATTTAAATATCTTGTAAAATTGAAAAATAACAAAAATTAACGAGTCTCCAAAAAGAAAACCCATAATTTATCATTTAGTTAAAAAAATATTGATTGTGTTATCAATTATGAAATACCCTGTAAGAAATACGTGTTCTTAGAAAAGCAATACCACTCAACATCTATACTTAAATACTCACCAAATATTTGGTTAAGTAAGTTATCTAAAGCTTTTCCAGTAAGATAAGTTCTTGTTTTTTCATATGTGGTCACTCTTAAAATATCATCACCTGCATAAATTTATATATTACCGTATTAATAATACAAAAATTGTTAATATTGATATTTATGTTTTTATTTTAAAATTGTACGCGTGCACTCGCGCGCAGACAGTCCGATAGTGCGCACGCATTTATACGTCGCTCCCGGATTATGTCCAGCTCTGAAACTTCTACCGAACAGAAAATTCTGCATTTCACCTCATTCGACGAAATATTTGACACTATTCCTACAAACCCGCAAGGTGAACAACCTTCGGGAAAAATATTTCTCCAAATCAAGTAATATCGTTTAATATTATTTTTTATATTAAATTATATTCCACTACTCCGACACGCATTACAATAATAGTCCAAACACTAAACAGACCACGGCACCGTCACGCGCGGTGACCTTTGGACTCCGATAACACTGACGACATGGCCTCCGGAACTGTGTCCCCAATTAAAATTGTCAATAACCAAATAATCAGCAAAAATAATGAAGACAAAAATAAAAATAAACGCAACATATCTACTTCGTCCACACCACCGCAATCACCATCGTTTACAGCTAGCGTTAAGAAAGCTAAAACGTTTATCATGCCAAATAGATACAGCGTTCTCTCCATAGACGAGCCTACCATTGAAAACCCTAACATCACATCTGATAACCAAAACGAGGAGCAACCGAATACCACCAACAACACACCAAAAACAATTTTGCCTCCACCCATCTTCATTAAAGGGGTCCTTGACTACATAGGCTTGCTAAATCAATTTTAACAAATCATCGGTCCAAATACCTTCTCGTGCCAATCAACCTCAACTCATCTAAAAGTCCAAACTGATACCCCAGATAACTACAGAAAAATCATTCACTTATTGAAAAAAAATCGATGCACAGTACCACACATACCAGCTCCAATCCGATAAACCTTTAAGGGTAGTCA